TTTCCAGTACCTTCATCTTTAATTTCCAGTATGTGAAAAACCGCTACCATTTTTTCCCGCAAAGATACAGAACTTTAAAGAAACCCTTGCATTTATGGTATATACCACCGGCATTAGCATTACCCGATATGCATCTCGGAGAGGTTGCTGGACAGATTTTGCACATCATATGACTGTAACAAGAGCCTTTTTTTGTGTGTATTTGTGTGTGAGTATCTGTGTGTGTGTGTGAATTATTGTTTGTGTGTGTGTATGAATTATCGTCGAGAAATCTCGTTGAGAATCATTTTCGAATTTTGTAGTCCCAATTCAATTCGATTGCTTCCACATCCTGCAGTAAGTCCAGATTTGAACCCTACAGAAATTTAACAAGACAACCTGCCAATCTGTAAGACTTGTCGCAAGTCTTAACTCAATTTTGGAATGACATTCCACAAAAAGAAATTAGGGCTTGCATTAACGTGAATAATAGGCTGCAAGGGATAATTCAACAACGCGGAGGAAACACACGTTATTAGAATTCAAACATACACACACACAGATACTCATACACAAATACATACAAAAATAGGTTCTTGTTAGAGCCATATGATGTGCAAAATCTGTCCAGCAACCTCTCCGAGTTGTATATCGGGTAATGCTAATGTCGGCAGTATATGCCATAAATGCAAGGGTTTCTTTAAAGTTCCGTATCTTTGCAGGAAAAAATGGTAGCGGTTTTTCACATACTGGAAATCAAAGGTGAATGTTCGTACTTTATGCTGCTGTAAACAGTATCACCAAAAAAAATGTGGCAAGTCCATACATTTCGTCAAACTTTATAATTTTCAATGTAGCAAACATGACCTCACATTTACGGTGTTATTGTGGTAGTGATGCATCAAATCTAAAATGAAACTACAGCGTCTTAAAGTAGAGATCTCAAGCTTTAATTTGAAAAAAGAGCATACTTTGCGATGATTTTTCACGGAGTTATCATCAGTCAAATTTGCCCAATTTTTGCCTAAAATTGTTCTATGCCATATTTCTTTTGAGCAGTGTATATGTATATTATTTGGGTGATCCTGGAATTAAATGAAAATAATTCGAGGATAATTAAGTTTACGCATAGCGTAATTTAGTTCGTAATATTGTTCAAGTAAGAACATTTTTTGTTATCCTTTAATATCCTCGATCCATTCATAAGTTTTATACAAATATTATTCGAATAAATTTTTGATTGAGTAAAAAATTATTTACTATTTGCTATGATTTACGAGATACTCTACCCTGATATGTACATATGTATGTATTATAATGTACAGAGATCGATTTTAAATTATTTGACATTACTAAAAAAATATGGAAAACATTATTCAAAAAATTGTTATTTAAATATAAATGAATATGTAATCATTAATCGCTTATTTATTATACGAGATAATCATTATTCCTGCTAATAACTATTAATGTACGAAGCCTTCATTTATTATTCATTGCTTATTATTTCTAACATGCGTCTATTCCTCGATGAGGAAGCATTGCTTACGTTTTTTATGTTCGATCTCAGCTGTCAGAATTTCCAGAATTTTTAATGTACATTGTATTAATATGGACTAGCATTATTGCAACTACAGAATACAGAGTTGGTAATAAAAATGTTTCATCTCCAGTTTTTAAGTTATTATTCTTACTCTGTTCTGGTGTAAAAAGGGTAGAACCAGATATTCCCGAGGTAATAGAAACGGAAGAGGCACCAAAGCCATTAATATCAATAGTAACAGGGGAACCATTTGGTCCTCGAGTTCGTTACATTAGCGAAAAGGAAGAAGGAGAAAGTTCAGACGATGAGCCAGAATCTGAAAGCGACGATGAACTTAAACTCTTGAAAGATGAACTACCGGAAGTGCCCTCAGAATTTTGGCATATACAAAAGCTTATCAGATACATGAAAGCAGGCAATCAAACAGCGACCATGGTGGCTCTTTGCCTCTTGAAGGATTACGACCTTAATAGCAGGGTAATTTATTCGTTTGCTGATTATTTTTTTATAACTGAATCAAAGTTCAGAAAATATGTAATGAACGATTTGTATAGTTGTAGGAATCATTTTCATTATGTATTATCAAATTTGAATTATGTAATGGGTATTAGAAAAAGTTCGTGCGACCGTCCTGTCGGAGATAAATTACCCGTATTTGCCACAAATTTTAACGAGAAAAAGACTGACACTATATAGCCTATATTCGTTGACAAGAAGAGTACGCTGTTACCTATAATAACAGGCAATTACAGTGATTTCCTACAGATACTGTATCAGAAATGAATGAAAAAGGAATGGAGAGAAATCCTTTCACATCTTTTTTGTAGGCCAAACCTGTTATTTTGTGACTATCACTAGCTTTTGTGTATAATAAATTTCCAGCAAATTAATAATATTGCGAAATATAACGAGATTGAAATGAAAAATAAACATAAAAAATTTTATGAATGATTACTTTATCACATAAATTTGTATATGAAGGTAGCATAAATTGTTTGAATGTTGTTTTATAAATTCATACAAATTTTCTTTTATAGCTAATACTTTTTAATATATTTAATATTTAATTGTTTAATCAAGTATGATATATTTAATTAAAAATTTGCCGTGTGAATATCCGTGTAAAGATAACTATTTAATAATTTATTTAAGAATTTGTGGCAATTATTTCCGTTGAAATGAGTTATCTAGTTAATCTTTATAAATGTTCATATCTAATATTCATAAAATATTACAGTTTATTGTAAATTGATAATGTATTGCATTTTAGAAAATATTGTGATATAGTAACAAGTAAATAGGAATTAAAATAATTTCAAAATACTTCATAATTTTAAAATATATTGTAAAGGGAATTGAATGAATCAATATGAATAAATGAGTTTTTCTTTTACTTTCATTTACTTCCAGTAACTAATTAAAAAATTAAATTACTCAAGTTATTCGTAGAAAACTTACCAATGTGATAAAAGAAAGTAAATTGAATTATTCTTCGTGAAACAGATAATACAAAAAGCTATTCAGGAGATGGGAGGTCTGGAAATCTTGGTCAATCTACTCGAAACGAAAGATTTAAAGTGTCAAAATGGTTCTTTGACAGCCTTACTTCAGATTGCAACTTGCACGGAAATGCGACGATATCTAATTGATCTTGGTATTGTCACACCATTAATTGATATGTTGAGGCATCCAGCTAGAGATATCCAGGTAAAGTTGAACTATACGAACGCGCACGCAGGGAAAGTTGGACAAAATAGAGTAGTCCAAACTCTTGGTGGACTAGAGAATAGGTTCTCCTTCACATAGATTTGCACACACTGGAACATGAGTGCAAAATTTTCAAATTTGCGGATATATATAATTTAATATATATAATTTAAGTAATTAAAATTACAAATTTAAACATTTAGAAGTCTACAAACGTTCAAATTTTCAAATTTACAGATTTATAAAATTAAAATTGCATATCTCGAATGTAAGGATCTATATTTCAAATACTCTTTATTTTGCTTGTTGTTGCACATTCCTCATTTTTAAAATATCACTTTTAAAGTTACTTCCTATTTTGAGGTATCAGGAGTAGTATACCATTTTACTGATGTGTTGTGCCTTTAAATTTAATCATATCCCGTTCTGTTAGATTATTCTGTTTTATCCAGTTCTCACTGTATAAAATTAATTTTCTTCATCAATACTAAAGTAATTTATATCGACTTTTATGTTACCAACATTTAATGCTATCTATTTTGGTACGAAGGTTCTGGCTACTGAAACCATGGCTATCATTGCGCGAATTAGAAAAGCAAGGAAACAAATACGTGTTCGTGGTGGCATACCGCTCATTGTGAGTATTTCTATGAAAACATGAATTAAATGTAATTGTTTTTAAAGCCTTTTTTTAATATCTTCTTATAGTAAATGTATACGTGGTAAAACCTTTTTGAAACCTTAATTAGAGACTTGAGGCTTTCACGGCCCGGCGTCATACAGGTATTACTGTTGAGGCTTTCGGATGTAAGCCGTGTCCTAAAGGAAGCGAGTTCCCAACGTTTCGCCAGCATTCCAGCTAGCTTCATCAAGGGATACACTGATATGTGTACACATATCACTTGCTTCCTTTAGGACGCAGCTTACACCCGAAAGTCTCAACAGTAATACCTGTAAACCTTAATTAATTTATAATGGCCTTGAAAAATGAAATCACAAAACGAAATTCATAATATAGTAAGACTGTTGAACTTTGTTTAATCTATTTCCTAATGTTTTAAATACATACATATTTAATACATCAAATAATCTGCAAATTATACATATATAAGGATAATCTATAAATTAAATTACAAACTTACTTAATTTTAACAATTCCGAATACAATATTATAACTTTTAACTTTTTCTTTTAACTAATAGTCTTTTCATTCCATTTATGAGATTTTTCTGATTAAAATTACACCAAACATGATAGACATAACAAGTATACTTTGAACTATGATTTTTTGACTTATCCACTTCTTTTAACAATTCCATTTTACGTATGTACATGGTATTTTATCTTCGTTTTCTTTATTTTTTATTTATAATAATATTAATATATTATTAACATCGTACCTAAAAATAAATATACAGTCCCTAGCCATCGAATTAGAATGACTATAAATTTTCAGCATTTTTCACGTTTTCCATAAAATTAAAAGGCTAGTTCAAATTGTAATTATATAATTTATTAGCTATTAACATGATGCACTACTACTGTACATAACATTATTAACACATGTTAGTATCTTGTATTTCCACCCTTTGCTTTGGTCACAGCTCGTATATGACATGTTTCGTATACATTGCTCATGTGTCTTATATCTGCATTATTTTCTCAAATATCTATAATTCTTGTTTTCAACTTAGCTAATGTGGTGCTTAGAGAGTTGTAAACTAGTCTTTTGAGTAGGCTCCAGACTTTTTCTATGGCATTCGCCAAAACATCGTGCACTATTGATACTCGGGTCTAACCTAAACACTTATATCGCCCTTAATCGCTCACCACCCACACAATTTGATTATCATCACGATAATAACAAACCAATTGTTATGCATATATCGTTATCAACGTATTTAATAATAATTTTGAATGACCTAAGACAATTTTTCATAAATGATATTACGTTATAGGCATAAAAATGAAATTTTCGTACGTGGTTCTAATTCGATGGCCACGGATTGTATATGTTTGTAATGTAATTGTTAAATTACACCGTGTAATCGAACGTCTACGATGAGAATACACTTGTAAGACTAAAACTTTCTTCATTCCTTTCGGTTCTACTGCGAAAACCTCCAAAAATCGAAATAAAACTTACTTAACCCGAATTATTTTACTTTTGTTCAAATATATTGTTTTACTTCTTTAACTCGAATTTTAAATAATCAGACGTATACAAGTTGAAGTTTATTTCAGGGACATGAACTTTTATCGTTGCTATTTTTACAACTAGAAATAGCTAAATAAGGTGCATAATACATGGTGTTATAACTACACAAGAGATGATTCTACATGAAAAAATAATTCTGAAATATACAGTCAAATTTCATCATATAAGGCTTGGTTTTCAAGAGAATTAAATTCGAAGATCTTTAAAGAAAGAGTGTCATGTTTGACACATGCTTCTTTGAAAACCTTGGGCCTGTTCTCGAGAAAATTGGGGCCAAATGTCCGTTTCCAACAAATGGTGCCACAGTCAATTTGATACTTTTTAAAATGTGAAAATGACCAGTCTAACTTACATTTGACAGGAGTTAGTAATTCTAGAGTAGAATTCTATTTTCTTGTAGATATTTTGAGAAGAGGTATACGAAAATAGAAACTGTGGTGCACTTGAAACCAAGGACGAATCAATAAAAGAAACGATAAATAAAGTAGATTTTATTAGTCATGCATGGAATATTGCCAGTAACAAAAATATTGCAAAGGGAAGGGTTGAGTATGGTTGAGTATAACACTGGCTGTGTTCGTAGAACAAATGTCAAATAATGGTCATTACATGATTGTATCAGCCAACGATACGCACACCCGACTCGCACGGACAGAAGTATGAAATTATTTGTCAGAAACAGGTTTGTGAACCCGATTTTCTGGATAGAGGAGTCGAAGTTCTTAACGAGGCATATACATATAATTCTCTCCATAAGCGAAAAAGATCTCTATCGTAGGAGTGAAAATTTTATCCTCACTATTGGGTGGTCTCCCTCGGAATCAGTCAAACGACGATCGAATATTGGTGAGATACATACTAATGCAAACAAAGGAAAAGATTGCAATTTTTTTATTTCTTATTATTTTTTCATAAAACTCGTGCCGTAGTATTCGTCTCGTTTTTCTGATTAAAATGATACCAAACCTGGTATAATTAAGAACATAATTACGTGTATAACAAGTTATTGGGAGGAATTCGTATCTCTGCTGTAAATCTATGTATAGTTTGGCGTGAAGCCCGAAACTTTTATGGTTTGCTACACAAGTAATTGTGATCATTTTAATCAGAAAAACGAGACGAATACGATGGAAAAGTTTCATTAACTAAAAATGCGGGTGGAAATATTTGGGGTCTTATATGAAGCTCGTTAACGTATTTTGGAAAACGCCCCTTCCGAGTGCAGATCCAAGGTCTGTATACTTCTTCTCTCGTAATTCATCGATGATGACTCGAAGGGTAGGTTCCGTCGAGTTGTTTTTGATCAGGCAGTTGAATCATGGCAAATCCAATATTTGTAATCTAGTTCGCTACAGAAGCTTAGCTTCATTCTTTATAAGAAAAATTTACAGCAAAAAAGATGGCAATTTCAATAACACTTTCGTTAATCCAACAATTAATGGATGTTATGAAATAATGTATGTATTTATGACTTCTTATAATAATATTATTATACCTGTGCCGTATTATTATTTATGCGCGAATTTATGACGCTTCCGGCTACATTCTTCATGAAGGCTAATAATAATAATATATTGTAGGTTATTAACTGTTATTATTAATTTATAAATTATTTGTTAAAATAACGTCAAAATTATTGTAACATCTATTTGTGGCAAGACAGATGATTATTTGAACAAGTTTTTCAAGTATAATATAATAATAAAATTTTCTCGAAAACGAAATCTGATATAAAACAATTTTATTTTGTATTTTCCAACATATTGCAAAATAATAAAAATCAATCATTCGACATCTTTCTTTTAATTAATAATTAATTTCCTAAAATATAATTTTTCTTTCTTTAAGCGGTTACATTTAGAAAATCATTAAGCGTCATATGAAGCTTCTCTATGACAAATTTTTGTTTGTTAAACCTCTTTTATTTAAAACTCTCAATAAGTCGAAATCTCTGTGACTCTGTTTTAACTCTACCTTTAACAATAAAATTCAATTGAATATTTAAAGTATCATATTGAAATTCAATAACCTTATAAAATGTGTAATTGTATATAATATATGTACTAATCCGATTAATATAAAATTATCAAATACATTATGGAGAAAAATCACAATGTTTAATAGTTGGACGTGATGGATATACCAGACATAACTTTAAAACGATCTTATGATGATTTATCCGAAACTAATAAAGAGCTACTCGCAGTTGCAATTGGTTGTGCCAAAGTTTTGGATTCCTTAAGCAGCAGCCCAAAGGTGAAAGAACAGCTTCATAAACATGGAGTGGTAAAGATCATGGAACGTTTTTTGAAGTCTGGACATACTTCTTTGGTAATACCCATGATGGGTGCCGTTCAACAGTGTGCGACTCTGGTAAGCGAAATATTTAAACATTCAAGAATTATAAAGTACTTAACATGTTGAGCGCCACGGGAATTCGTGAGGCCACGCAATAAATAATGGAAATAAGTGTTTAAATTCATTAATAATACGATCCTGCAATAAATAAAAATGAAGTAAATTTTAAATAAATTTTCAGTAATTACTTATAACAATGTAAATTTTTTAGTTTTTTTTTCTATGTGTGCCCGCCGATTGCGCCTAGCTGGATGGACCGATCGGAACGAAACCTTTTGCATCTGGTAGGTTCTGACTCCCCATTGGTACCATTATCAAAAAATTTTTCATTTTTTAATTGCAAAGTATTGTTATTGCAAAAAAACCGGCAAATTTTGAAATAAAGTTTTCTCGATTTCAGTGCGCTTTTAATATCTTATCACGGACATGATTCTGAACAATTTTGTTCATATACAAATTTCGCGGAAAGGTTCAGTTTTCGAGATATTAGCGAAAAATTGTTGAAAA